TGCCCTTGCTACCAGTAGGATGGTCAATACATGATTGCTTTGTAACTTGTCTTTTCTGGAACATTTTGCTTGGTCCTTCAGATCTGACTATGTAATGTAGAAGCTCTACTTTATCCTAATAGCTGTCTTTAGCATTTTGCTACTATCTGTGTGATGCTAAACAATATGCTCTTAATCTGTTGCTATATTCTCAAGTGTTGTTTACCATTTACATTGTTTTACACTTGATATTCACAAATAGTAGTAGTGTCTGGTCTAGATAAGAAAACAAGGGATGATCTATGCAGTTATTGATCTGAATTGTTTGTTTCTGGGCGGTGTAGGACGAGCTGTAGCGGGACAACCTGGAGCGGAAGAACTTCGAGGATAAGATCAAGGAGAACCTGGAGAAGACCACCGACTACCTCATCCTCGTCGGCATGGTTGGATCCTTTGGCAGACCCCTCTTTGGCTCCGACCAACTTACTTTTGTCGTTGGCTCGCAGCATTTCTAGGTACAATTGTGTCTTGCTCTCTTGCCCACCATTTAGTTTTTGTTGGAGTGTGCATGGTGGCATCCTGAGCTCGCACTATAAAATATGCTTTGCCTTATTCCTGAGCTGGCACTGTAAATTTTCCTTTGTCTTGTTGATAATGCCATGTCTTATGCAATCAGATTACATTTCTGTTTGTTATGGTAATATTCGTGCTATTGAAATTTTCAAAGTGTGTGCCTTTCATTTCTTTATTTTGATTGTTTCCCTTGTATTCAATATGCTTCTAATGGCTGATCCTTCCAATGCCACGTGTTGTGTGTTCGGGGAGATGGAAGAGGAATAAGATTTATTTTTGTTGAACTAAATTTTCTGTATTCTGTTTTGTTCTACGTATGATTTGATAGTTTTGTATAGGAACAAGTGATACTATTTTGTAGGGCTTTATGGCACGTGATGTAAACATATTTAGTGCTGAATTATGAAATTATCTGAAAAATTTGTTGAAAAGGAGGATCATTTGTATGAATATGGGCCACATATATGTGAATGGGCTGAAAAGAGTACTGGACCAACTCCAAGATTAAATTATTATTCGACTGTATAAAAAGGATGAATGTAAACCAGAAATGGGCTGCACAAAATAGTACCTATATTTTTGAAAGGCCAAATGTGCATAAAAATTGACGGGCTTAACAGTTGGGCTTGGCCCATGTAGCTGACAAAAATTAACAGAAATAAATATACTAAATGGGATGAATTAATGGGCTCGACCCATATAGATACCGAATTGGACCGGGTTGATTCTTATCAATGACTTTTTCATTTGGTCACAATTTTGCCATGTCATCTAGCCACGTCGGATCCGACGTGGTCTGGGCAGACAACCAGCGACCAAAGCAATTGGTCGTAGGATCATGGACCTTTTGTTTTGGTCGTTGCCTTCAACGACCTTATCACAAAGAAGGTCGTTAATTTCCATTAAAGATGGCCAGCTTTTGACCATCTGTTTTTGGTCACAAAAAGGTCGCAAATGAAAAACAATGACCATTCAACGACCAATAGTGATGGTCGCAAGTTGACATATTTCTTGTAGTGCCCGGTTGCTACAATAGCTGGTAGCACCGCGGATGCAAGTTCCCCCCATGGCACGTACTACGTGGAGGCCGACGACGAGGAGTAGTCCGGAGGTCCCAGGCAGGAGGCCCCACCTTTCGATCTAGTGTCGTTGTTTTGCTCAACCTTCTTAAGGTAAAACTTGTCTAACTATGTCTATACTCAGATAATATTTGCTTTGATGACTTGTGTATTTTGGGTCCTCATGGCCCCTGGCTTGTAATCTAAAGATTTATGTTTATGCTTTGTGTCGTAGAGTTGTGTTGTGATATTGACGTGAGTCATCGTTCGTAATCGTGCACGAAGCATGTATGATTAGTGCACGATTATAAACGGGGGCGTCACAAGTTGATATCAGAGCCGACTGCCTGTAGGAACCCCTTCCAAACTCCTTTGTCGATGTTGAGTCTAGACATGAAATAAAAACTATTTTACTAACTGTGTTGTGTGGCTTACTGGCCCACATCACCTATGGGTGGGATTAGGATATTTTGTTCCCCTCCTTTACTCTGGGATTCTGACAACTTTTCTATTCAGATTAAACTTTTACTAACTCTAACTCTAGGATCACACAATGATTTCATTCCGGAGCCCTGATTACTTTCAGTTACCCCTTCGTTTCGCTATACCTTCATCTTCTGAAGTTTGACTCCTTTGAAACATCTTTGCTTTCAGATGGATCCCTCGAGACAGGTCGTGCGCCACATGACGGTTGTTGGAGCCTCAGGCTCACCTGTTGTGCTAGTTGAGATGATGACATACCTGGGTTATTGTTGGCATCCTGAGTACATCGTGTATGAGCAGTATCAGGACTTTAACCAGGAGCAGTACCTTGCCATTGCCCGTATATTCTCGTCAGGATGGCTCCTCCTCTGTTTTGCACACCACTCATGGTGTTAGTGTGACCATTGATATGGCTGTTCACGATGCTGCTTATGCTTCTTTGACACATCCTTGTGGAGAGTATCGGGGCTTAGATAACTCCCCTTTCAGACACATTGCGGCTGCATCCAGTGAGGGTGAAGAGGGACACTATACTGCTGCCTACACCACTCTCACCCACGGGCCTTTCTACCACCAAACCTTTGTCAAGCATGCCGATGGTCTGGATCGAGCTAACCGAGGTCTTCGCTCCAAGTTGTATGCCACCCATGTGCGCCTTTATGACGCTCTGACGCAGTTGCTCCCCTTTGACATATCTGGGCAGCTGCATCGTTCTGTGTTCTACCCTGCTAGGACTGTGATGCCCGCTGGTGTCGGTTGGCCTGAGGTTGGAGGCTACACTCCCGCTCGTGGTGCTCTTATGCCACCTGGGCGTCAGCTTCCACACCAGAGTATCCACGGACCTCGGGATCCTGTTAATTCAGTCAGTGATAGTTTAGCCAAACACTCCTTTGTCTAGCTGGTCTGAATTCTGAGAGACTATTATCCCTGACTTTATTCTTCCTCAAGTTGTAAACGATATGTCTATTATACGAGGAAATAAAGTTGTTGATGCTAAAAAAAAGGGTTCAGTTAGGTCGGGCGGGCCACTTTTTTAACACCTTGTATTTGAGGAGTTAAGGTTATAGATGCCCTTATCTATATCTATACCTACTAATAAAGCAAGGTACGTTTCACCAATTTTTTCATCCGTTCACCCATATTATATTTTTTGAAAATTATAAAAATCCGAGGTGGTACTAATTTTCTTATGTTCTGAAAACAAAAAAGGTTTCACCTACTGGGCCAGGTAGTTGCCGCGCGCTACCCTTATGGGTCTTCAGGCGGGCAAGTGGGCCTACTACAGCAAAATCAGTAAAAAATTAATAGGCAAGGTGAAGAATCGACGTCATGACCTCCTATATATACTATGAGTACCTACAGTTACCAACTAGGCTAAGCATCTATTCGTGATTACAATGGAAAGCTTTTGAAAAATATATTACAGATGGAGGACGCACAGGTTCCATAGTTTAATAATCCCACCTCGTCTTATTACATCAAATTCGACCAATTCTTATACGGTCGCGAGTGGCCTGGCAAAAAGAGAACTCAGAAATCAACCAAAATGGAGGAGGTGACTAGATGTGCATGACGTTAAATACAGGAAAGGTGGGTTGCCTTTAATCGTGAGCATGCATGGATATTAATTGGAATAATTTGTGGGATTAAAAGAGGCTATAAGAGGCTGCTTGACATTGAACGGAGATTAAGGGTGCTAGGCAAGAGTATAACTTGTGGGCATGCATGGATATTAGTTGGAACGATTTGTGGGATTAAATGAGGCTATATGAGGGCATACACCCAGCTGTGTATGCATGTGACATTTAAACGGGACTATTACTCTGGGCTTTCCTGACTATAGATAGGAAATCACACGCTAATTTGCGGGATCAAATAGGACATGAGAGGAAGGACTATGCTAATTTGTGGGATGGCAAATAATAATCTGAAAGGCGCATCAATCATGCATTTATTATATTTTTCATTGGGTGTGTCTACCTTAGGTCTCAAAAGGAACTACTAATTTTTAGTGAAGCTATTTTCAGATAGTGCATTGTTTTTGGTGTGGTAAATTTCTTCCAGAGCCGTAAATGTTAAATGCATGGATTGAATTATTTGTCTACCAACACCTACTATAATATTAACCCTGCATGCGACCATGTACAAACTCCTCCCTCACATGGTCTCCTTTAGTCGCAACGGTGATGCCCATAACATTAGCAACCCGAATTGCTGCTTGGCTTGCCATCAGGTGAATTCTCAACATGGTGTTGGAGGAACGTCAGACTATCATCCAGCAAGTGCTATCATGTTCCATGAGTCCCATCTCCAAGAACCATGTTGATCACGCATTTCTGTCATTAGCGACTCTTCTTCTACGATCCAGTTTGTCACTCGGGCAATCCTAATTCCTGACAGCTAGCATTTACTTACTCCATAGTGCAATATGTGTGCTTTAACATAGTTTCATTTTTTTTAAACATAGTTATAAAACTCACGTTGTAACGCACGGGCATATGTGCTAGTAGTGTTCCTATGTGCGGAGCCTTAGTGTTGTCCACGCACGATCAACAGTATCTCTAAACTGGGTATGCTGTCGTCACTCAGCCTGCGGTCCGCTCTCCCTCCCAATGTGATGTGATCTACTTTCTCCTTTTCTTTTTTGGCAAATGTAGGAATCTATTACTTTTGCGAACGAAACCAGCAGTATACTAGCATTCTAGTACTAGAGGGATCTATTTATACCCATCATATCCCCGGCAGCCTACTCGGCTCCCATTCGTTCTCCTCTGCTTCCCGTCCTCTATATTCCCAATATAGAAGTGCCGCCGCCACCATTATCAGCGATCACCTGTCCCCCATAGTCTTGTGTAGTAGAGGGCCTAAAGTGACACTGCAGCAAAAGCAGTATATATATATACTTGGATGGAGAACACCAAGTCATCGTGGTTCCAGGCGCAGGCAGCGGCAGCGGCAGCGGACCTGACGCTGGCGATCGGGCCGGCAGGCGGCAACCAAGGCTGGGAAGAGAACAAGGAGGCGGTAGCGCCGACAGCGCGCGTGAACGGCAAGGACGTGCGGCTGTTCCCGTGCCTCTTCTGCAACAAGACCTTCCTCAAGTCGCAGGCGCTCGGCGGCCACCAGAACGCGCACCGCAAGGACCGACTCGGCAGCTTCAGCGACCCATACATGTACGGCCCCTACGGCGAAGGCCCCTTCCGCGGAACCGCCGTTGATTCTGGCAGCAGCTGGTCCATGAGCACCTCCGTCCTATCGCACGGCGGTAGCCGCGTGTCGGCGCCGGCGAGCGCTGATGCCAGGACTGAGAGGTGGAGCAGCGCCGCTCCACGCTTTGCAGAGCACGCGCAGGCGCAGCTCCTTGTGGATCCAGCGGCTGGACATGACGGCGCGGTGGACATGCTCAGCACGAGGGCCTCCGTTAGCAGTGCCGGTGAGGAGCTCGAGCTCGAGCTCCGCCTCTAGGATTTCTGGGGCACCAGCACCATGCGTCTACTTGCACAGGTACCTGCTACAATATCAATTTTAACTCTCTACTCCCTCATAGATCTCCCTCTTTGCCGTGATTAATTAAGGTAGCACGCCGTCCATTAGCGCTTGCTTTGCCGATTTCTGTAGCTAGGTGTTGCATTGAAGCGCCAACCTTAATTAATTAACGAATTACACTCCATTATTAATAAACTGCGTGCTCAATTGGCAGGTTTCAATCGAATTGCGCATATCAGCGATATTGGCGGCGAGCCTGCAGTCCGTCGTCGCATCGTTTACTGGGAGGGAGAGCTCTCCATGCCTCAGCGGGACGTTATTTTGTTGTTATTTTGTAGTGAGTGTTTTCTTGTTGCTCGCTTGGTTAATAGAACTTCCTAAAAGAAACTGTTAATACTGTTTCACATATATATATAACAGTGTCCAGAATCCGGACGACTATCGGGCATCAGTAGCAGTAATTACTGATGATTATCGAAGGTTGATGAGTTCTTTCGGCTAGGCTAGGCGTTGATAAATCACTATGCGCGTGATGTAAACGAGTGTGCTTATACTATTGCACGTTTTAGTTTTTTGGGTCAGGAATCAAGGGTGTGGCATGATAACCCCCTGATTTCCTGATTCCGCTAGTTTAAAGCATGTGATTGTTAGTTAAATAAAGTTGCCAAAGTTAAAAAAGAAAAGAAAAGGAAAGTGTTAATATGGAGTTTTGGACTCCAACAGGGAAATATCGATGTATGGAGCATATAACTAACACACTATACCACTCCTTTGAAGTTTGAACCGTTTGCCCCTGTTTCATTTTTGTTTTGTCGCATGGAAGACCGATAATACATTCTGCTGCTAAATTGGGCAAGAGAGGAGTTGCCAATGTTGGGTTCTAGAAACATATGAGAAAGCAGACATGAAATAGACACACACTCACACACATACATATTGATTGTGGTTCTTCTCTTTCTTATTTAAATCTTAGAAAGATTAGAGGTGTACAATTGTGTAACCTACCTATGATTATACACACCTGTTAGTACATAAGTAAGAGTAACCTAGCTCTGTTTACCTGTAAGCAACATGTGCCTTGCACATGAGAGTAAGTGCAGCCCGATATCGACATACTCCCTCCATCCACATATATAGGGCCTAAGTCTTTGCATTAAGAAGAAGAGAATTGGCCAGTTTATATGGAAAACTGGCCGAAAGCCGATACAATGAAACACAAACAAGCCCAGGGGCTGCGTACCCAACGAGCCGACTTCCCTGTCGCCCAAATGACCAGAGTTTCCACCCTACCACACGACCCGGAGCCGCCACTCCGGCTTACAAACCTCAGCAACTCACACACATCAGCCCTGAGGCCACACTCCACATGAGCCACCCCAAATAGTGGATGGAGGGAGTACCACATTATAATAGGCTAACATATAAAATTTAAATAACATACCAATGACATTTAAGAAGTAGGTTTTAAGTCGCATCGCTCATCCCATTGGATTTTGAAATTTTTAGTACAGAATATTTGAGGACTAAATGGCATATACTACACAAAACTCATGTGAAATTTATATGGATAGCTGAGTGCTCCATCTGCAAAAAGGCTGGACTTTAGAAAGATGTTGCCATAGAGTAAAATACATCTGCAAAAAGACTGGACTTTAGAAAGATGTTGCCATACAGTAAAATACATGTTACTCCCTCCGGTCCAAAATAAGTGTCGTAGATTTGAACTAGGTTTAGTTCAAAACTGCAAAACATTTTATGGATCGGAGGTAGTAGTTCTTTTGGAAGAAAAAACCTTGGGAGAAGTAAAGTATGGAAGAGTCTGTGGGGTGGCCGTTTTGGCTCTGCGGGGCAACCTTGGGAGAAGTAAAGTATGGAAGAGTCTGTGTGGTGGCCGTTTTGCCTCTGCGGGGCATGCGCTCCATGATGACAGTAAATTCGAAATAAATAGTAAATATTTTAAAAAATTCTAATTTTTTTGTAGATGTTCCTGTAAGTGTAACAAGCGTTCTTGTTAATTTTCATGTGAAACGGGATACAATGTGTCGTCAGTGAAAAAACAAAAATAAGTGTAACATTTAGCGTAAGACTGTTTTTTTTTTCATTTTTGCACAGTCAAAATGCTTAAGCTTTTCCCCTAAAAATTTGCAGGTAGCATTAGGATGTGACAATGAACACATTTTTTTTGTCATTTACAAAAAAACATTTTTATTGCACAAGAGCATATGTTCCCAGGAGCCGAATTGGATTTCCGAGAGTTTGGAGCAAATAAGAAGTGTACGTGTTATGTGCATATACTTAGAGACATAATGTACAAGTGTGTAAATTTTCAGGACGATACATTAAAGTGTGTGCTACACCAAAAAAAAATCTGCTACTTTTTCGTACATGCACTATTCATCCTCAAAGTCCATCATTTTTCTTGCACAGCTCACATTCCAAGGTATTTCATCTTGAAAAATTTCACACATACACATTACATCTTTGTATACTTGTACAAATTTTTTCAGACTAAGTTTGAAATTTTCAAAAAAAATAATGGCCTCCATTGAGGCCGATCTCCAAAACGCCCTACTCGTACGATAGGTAGTCCCTCCGTCTCATAATATAAGATCGTTTTTAAACCACTAGTGTAAAAATGCTTTTATATTATGGGATAGAGAGAGTAGTGTTTTTTGCGGGCCATAACATTTTCGATGGAGTAGCTATAGCCCCATAACTCAGCGAGCCATTCTACTAGTTTTAGTTCTCAATAGCAAAACGCTTGGAATAATGTACTATTCTCATCGAGTATCTCATGCGTTAAGAAGAACTGGATTGTGATGTTTTTTTTTGTCGAGTTCGCTACATATAATATGAGTGGTTAGTTGTGGCCCTAACTGTAAAACGGAATATACTAGTTAAAAAATTAATTAATCAACCATCGTGCTGGATCATGTCCTTCATGGTATGGAGAAAACCTCTATTAATTTGCTATTTTGCTGAAAACTGAGCAACACACATAGTAGTACGTTGGCCTTTGAGCTGCGCGAAGAGGGACACAGGTCGACATGCTTCATCTATTGGTGTCGCAATATGATGATAATAATATGTACTGTACTAAAAAGGTTCTGTGGCGCATATGCTAGCAGACTAGCCACAATGGAGAGTAACATACATTAGTAACATACACATATCCCTAGACTATGTTACTACCTCAATAGTGGGTAGTAACATGAGTATGGTAACATGCAAAACTTCATTTATTAGGTTATAGACTCATATTGCATTGGGACATGTGATGTTACAGTAACTAGTTAAGTAACTAGTATTACATCTCTCCTCATTAACTCGTTGCCACATAAACAAATTTGCTGAGTTGGACTCGATGTTACTACCGAAGTTACTTCCACTGTGGCTAGTCTCGCAAGGACAGCATGCATGACGCATCACAGATACTGCTGCTCCAGGCCAACTGTGGTGTCACTTGGCGTACTACCATTGGCACCAATTATGACAGTGGCGGTCACACTGCACTGCCATCAGCGTCGCCTAATTAATTGGCAGGTCCAGTAGACCACAGCTCCACTCTGAGCGCAACCGCGCAACCGGACCCCCACCGCACCAAGTGCATTTGTCGCATTGACAGTACGGAGTGTCTCCTCTAGTCACATGGGTGGTGTGACAGCTAACATAAATGGAAAAAGACCTCCTAGCTTGTCCGCAAGCATGCTGGCAACTAGACGCGTGTCGAAACGTAGGGCATACCAAAGCACCCGGCAAATGAGAAGACGCTTCTGAGGGCATCTTCATCGTGGATGGTCAGACTGTGTGATTCGGATGTGTCGTGCTATCCAACGTAGTTCTGTATCGATTCGCTCGGTTGTTCAGATGCATCTTTTTTCTTCGTGGACCCTAGAATAAGGATGGCAATGGATTGGGTTTGGATCGGAGTGAACAATATCAAATCCATATCCATATCTTAAGACAGTCTCTGCCCGCCCATGAAGTAATCCACAGATGAAAAATCGTGTACAAGTTCAAACCGGATGGATATCTATTGGGTCTTCTCAAGACTTATAAATAAGACATAACACATTTTTAACATAAGCTCTTCCATTTTTCACCCGTGGTAGACTATTTATGGTAAATCAACATCCACTAACAAGCTAATATCATTTAGTATTTTTCTAAAAGATGAGAATGACGAGTAATTTAATGAGGAGATAAAAATAAGGGAAGGGGTGCTGCAATAGGTGACGGTGGGGATTGAATGTTACTCCCTCCGTCCCAAAATACTTGTCACCGAAAGAGATAAAAAGGGACGTATCTATAACTAAAATACGTCTAGATACATCTCCTTTTATCCATTTTGATGACAAGTATTTCCGGACGGAGGGAGTAGATAACAAAGTGTTAAGTTGCAGTGGGACATATTACTACGGGGTAGGGATAGTAGATTTTTGCCCATTAAGTCATACTATTGCGTCGGGTTTGGGTATACCCATGCGTACAAGATTTTAGCCATGTCCTACGCACAAGCAGTCAGGTCGGGTTTGGGCGCAGGCCATGGGCACAAAAGCATATCCAAACCCATCCATGGGTATGCATGTTCATCGGTAAAATTGCCATCACTAGTAGAAAACAAGGGTTTGGTCCAAGCAGGGAAAGCCCATTAATCCCGGTTCACTCAAGAACCGAGACCTATGGGGGCATATGTCCCGGTTCGTGAGGCCAGGGGGCCGGCCGGGCCTCGTGAGGCATTGGTCCCGGTTCGTCTAGCCCCTTTGGTCCCCGTTCCAGGCATGAACCGAGACCAATATGCCTCGCTTCTGGCCCACCACCATTGGTCCCGGTTGGTGGCTTGAACCGGGACCAATGGTTGTGCTTTAGTCCCGGTTCCAGCCCTGAACCGGGACCAATGAGATGCCTATATATACCCCTTGCCCGCGAGCAGAGCAGTGGACTGCTCTGCTTTTTTTCGAGAGAGGTGTGTTGTGCTC